GAAACACACATGTCCCATTCACTAGAAAAAGGTTATTTGGCAGGGAGCGCTCTCCCTTAAAACTACACTTCCGTCTTCCAAGGGGTTGCTCCACCCTGATCCCGGAAACACACATGTCCCATTCACTAGAAAATCTTATTTGGCAGGGAGCGCTCTCCCTTAAAGCTACACTTCCAAGGAGGTACTCCACCCTGATCTCCGGGAGGCAGTGGAAGACAGGAGAGCCTAGACAAGATGGGCTCTTAACCCCTTGCACCAAAAATCACCCTTCCTCCCCTGCAGTGATAAAGTAGGTGAGTGATTGGGTGAAATCACCCTTCCAGGGTGTCCCAGTATTCCCTCTAGATCACAAAGGGTGTGATCACTTGTGGACATCCACTGCATTTTGGGCCACTTGTGGAGCAGTCCAGTGAGATCTATTTCCCACGATCACACAATCACTTGTGGACATCCACTGCATTTTGGGTCACTTGTGGAGCAGTCCCGTGAGATCTATTTCCCAGCGATCACACAACATATGGGGAAATAACCCCTTTTCTGTTTTGGACTGCAACTCCCAGAATCCTCTGGCTTGCCTGTCCCCGGGATGAGAGTTGTTGTGTAAAAAAAAGTAACATTCCCTAGTTCTGGGGACTCAGGGAGTGAAGGGCCACAAACACTTGCATTGCATCTGGAAAACACAATATTTAGTCCTTTTAAGGAACCAATGAGGACTGAGCCCTTTGTGTAACAAGTCCCTGAAGGGCTGGAAAAGAGCCTTCCTTGAGCTGCTGTTAGTCAGTGTAGCTCCATCAGAGGCAGAACTACAGTATCCATTTTGGCAGCTGGGGCTTAATAAGTGGCAGCACCTTCTATCTACTCAGCACTGAGGTATCCACAATATTTAGTCCTTTTAAGGAACCAATAAGGACTGAGTCCTTTGTGTAACAAGTCCCCAAAGGGCTGGAAAAGAGCCTTCCTTGAGGTGCTGTTAGTTAGTGTAGCTCCATCAGAGGCAGAACTATCCATTTTGGCAGCTGGGGTAAGTGGCAGCACCTTCTATCTACTCTGCACTGAGGTGTGCGTGCAGGGCCCCCTTCCAAGAAAAAGGGAGAAAGTGAAGTGGCTCATTTTCAAAAAGGAAAGTGTTTTCTTAAAGGAAAGTTAATTGGGTCATCAGGTGGTACAGTGTAGCTCCATCAGAGGCAGAACTACAGTATCCATTTTGGCAGCTGGGGCTTAATAAGTGGCAGCACCTTCTATCTACTCTGCACTGAGGTGTGCGTGCAGGGCCCCCTTCCAAGAAAAAGGAGGAGGAGAAAGTGGCTCATTTTCAAAAAGGAAAGTGTTTTCTTAAAGGAAAGTTAATTGGGTCATCAGGTGGTACAGTATTTCCCAAATATTCACAAGTAGATTAGCTTCCAGGCTTTGTCATTCTCTAAATTTCCTGCGGCAAAACCAGATTGCCCCACACTAGTTACCGTCCTACACTCCATGGACCATTGATTTGATTCAATGAAAAGTATCTACAGTATCTATGTTGCTAGATAGGAATGCTCTCACACTCCCTGACCTTGGTCTGTGTCCCAACATGGCTGCACAAGTTGATGCGCCTTGCTTCCTTGAAAGGGCAACGCAGGGAGCCTGCTCTTCCCTACACCGTGTCCATCCTGTCTCTTCCACCACTTCCCCTCCTTCCTCTTCCCTTGATCTGAAATAAATGGTGCTGTAGCCACACACACGCACAAAGTGATTTAATTAACGACTTTGCAGCAGGAAAGGCAAGGATGGTTCATTTCTAAGGTAAGTAGTATACCGTATTCCTTTTCTCCATTGCCACCAAGAGAGAGTCTTCCTTAGTTTTTCTTTCTCTTTCCCACTTCCAATTCCAAGTTGTGAATGGCATATGTAACATGGGTTATCCTTGGGGATGCCAATCTGCACCATAAGTGCCTCTGCACCTTTTGCTGCACTCCATGATCCCTGTGTAAATGCACATATATCACAAATTTAAACATTTGTCTGAAGCCATGTTGGGAAAGCAGCATGTAGCATTTTTTACTTGTCTCCTTATTTCCTGGTTGTTGTTATGTGCCATCAGGTCACCTCCAACTTACGGCAACCCTATGAGTGAGCAACCTCCAAAATGTCCTTTTCTCAACAGTCTGGCTCTTGTAAACTCAAAAGCCTGTGGCTTCCTTTAGACCAATCCATCATGTCTTTGGTCTTCCTCTTTTCCTGCTGCCTTCAACCTTTCCCAGCATTATTGTCTTTTCCAGAGAATCTTGCCTTCTCATGATGTGCCCAAGGTAGGACAGCATCGGTTTCATCATTGTTGCCTCCAGAAATAGCTCAGGCTTGATTTGTTCTAAGACCCACTTGTTCATCTTTCTGGCAGTCCAGGGGATGTGCAAGTAAACAACAAAAAAATTATACTTAAAAAAAGGGGGGGCTTACCTTTTTATGGGTATCATTATATTATTTAATTATTTTATGTTCCTTCTGTGGCTGAAGAAGGAGAAAGGTGTTATATAAAGGTGGAAGGAACTAGTTAAACAAGTCAAATGACTGGATAATCATCACTGAGGCAAATTGTGTTGCTTTGAATTTTGATGGCCCCGTATTCAGAGGAGGAGGGACACAGCTGCTCCAGCATTGAATACCATCTCAGGATAAGTTGCCATTGGTAACAGCATCATAAGTATGTGATCCTAAGCAGACTTAATTGGAAACGAGCCCAATGAAATAAACAGCACTTCCTTCCTTCCAATCAAATGTGTTTAGGATTAAAGTGCCAATCTTTTAAAAAGAAGGCTTGTACTTGCCTTCTGTGAATTCAGCAATGTAACATTTATCATTGGAAGGGGGGGAGTTGTTGAGGGGGAGAGATTTAATTGTAGTTTTAGTTTGCCATTCTGCTGAGTCCTTAGTCTTAAAACTCCTTCCCTCTCCCTCTTTGTATGTGTGTGAAAAGCAGCCATCTGATCAAAGGAGTTCTTCTAATACTGTAGCATTTGGTAAAAAGCAATATAATGCTTTTTCCTGGATAAACACACAGACACTTCTCCACTAAAATGACAATTCCCTTTCCCTCTCAGGCAGTGGTAGCATATACATGTAAAACTGATTTTTGCTCTTTGCAAAATTAATGTGCAGCAGTGTATTTAAACCATGATGATGAAGTAAACTTAAAGGACAAGCCAAGCAGGTGGGGATTTAAAAACAAAACAAAAGAAAGACTATTGCCGATTGAAATGGTTTCTTCTTTTTTCTGACTTTAAAAGTCTTGTTGAGACTATTATTTTGCAATATCCAGTTAAGCTGTCTACAGGGTGATCTGTGGTAGTTGAATCTCCTTATGTATTTCCTTGAATGTTTGCAGGAACAAATTGGTCATTCATCCAGAATAAAGTGCAGTTTCTGAAAGATTTGGTAAGAGGCTTTGTGTGTGACTTGGAAAGTTAGTGGGTTTTACAGATGTCAAAATAACTCAAGCAATCATAAATCTCTGCCTGTGAGTAATTTGTCTGAAAACAAACACCTCTGTTCCTCTATCTCAGAGCCATACTTGCCCAAACGCTCTTTACCTTGCAGTCTCTGTCTTTTCACTCTTATGTCTGAAGAAGTGGACTTGTTCCACGAAAGCTTGCATCAAAATATAGCAGCTAGTCTAAGGTGCCACAACATCTTTTGTTTTGATTTGTGTTTTCTGTCTGAAATCTTCACACCATTAAGTGGGCAAAGCAGACCCTATCATTAGGCAGAATGAGGCAACTGCCTCAGGTAGCAGGCTCTGGGGGATAGCAGTTGTAGATCTCTAGCCATCCTCCCTGAGGCTCCTAACCATTACCTTCTTTAAAAGACACAGCTGTATGTATGGTCCTGTCATATAACTTTTCCCAGCTCTGCTTAAAAGGGACACTGAGCTCTGTACATGTGGCAGTTATCCAATGTATGCTGCAGCTACCAACTCCCCACAATTTTTATTTTCATTCAAGAGAAATGTTTTTCAAAGGGAGCCCTGCAGATTGATTATGTGCCTGTGGAACTCACTGCCACCAGGCACGTCATCCTGGAATTTCTAATGTTGTTTCAAAGAAACATAGGAAGTTATGTGTGGAAGCCTTCAAGGAGGCAGTTTCCAGGTTCAGGGGGGCCTTAGGATGTTTGCAAGTGGGGGAGATCAAACTAAGGCTTGGAATGTTACTTTTAAAAAGGGACATGCTAGACTTTGCTTGTTATTTCTCCCCTTATTTGTGATGGTAAGAGTGCTAGGTAGTTGGTTTTAATTAATACTAATATTTTACAAAACTGCATATGTGGAAAAAATGGGTCAAAATGGTGCCAGTTCCTCCTTCAAACAATATTTTAGAAAGAAGGGAGGAACTTTATTTGTTGTGCTAAAAAGTAAAATAGTTACCTATTTTTACAATAGTTTGCAACAGGAATGTGACTTGATTACCACCCCAAAGGTGGCACATTTCAGGTAACATGATTACTTGTAACATGTTACTTCCAGGCTCTGAGTTGGATGAGCAAAGAGTGGAGGAAGGGATGTGTCGGGATATGAGTAAAGACAGAAAATATGAGACAAGGTCATGGAGAGCTTTGAAGGTTGCTCATCTAAGATCCAAGAACAGAGAGGAAGCCAAGGAGTGATTGGTGCTTCATGGTCTGAATGCTGGGAGGGGAATCATTTTGCAACAGAGCTTTGAATGTGATGGAGGACCAGAGGGAAAACAACATAAGAGATTTCCTGCTGACTAAATAACCTAGTGAATTAGGTATCTAGTTACGGAGCCAGAATTCGATCCCGCACTGCGCATCCCAGGAGAAAGCCTTGGGCAAGCTGTACAGTCTCAGGATGTACTCAGAAGAAGGGAATGGTGAACCACTTCTCTACCTAAAAAAACTTGGGAAGAAGGTAATACACCAGTCAGAATTGACTAGACAGCATGCAGTTATTATTTAAGAGATGTCCAGAGAGGAACAGAGAGGAAGGGACATGCTTTGTAGTAGTAGTAGTAGTAGTAGTAGTAGTAGTAGTAGTAGTAGTAGTAGTAGTAGTAGTAGTAGTAGTAGTAGTAGTTAATAATAATATTATAAAGCAGACTTTCTGGTGCTGCTGAATTGTGGCTTCTGTGATGCCTTACTATAGATTATGCTGGCAAGGGTGGATGGGAGCTACAGTCCAACAAACTCTAGAGGGCCACATGTGGTGCATGTTTGTTTTAGATGGGAGAGAAACACAAAGATTTGGCAATGAACTGAATTTGAGGGGGGTTTAAGGAGAAAAAGGAATGAAAGGGAAAACTGGGCTATGTTTTGTGACAATGGATTAAAATGTGAATGAGAAGATACGAGTTTAAGAAGCATGAGAAGGTCAGTCATAGAGAGACTGAACATTGGATGATAATAACAACCAAACAGAAGTATTGCGGGGCACTATTGATGTATCTGGCTGGCTGGCTGGCTACATCATCACTGGCATAAAGAAAGGACGAAAGAAATGGAGTTAGGCAGGGGCACAACAGTGCAGAAAGTGGAACATTAGGGATATAGGAGAAATGTGGTTTAAGTTAGGAAAATAAGCATTAGAATTACCTTGTTCCTTAAGATTGGGCAGGCTGTACAGTTAAAAATCTAATATGAAAACAGAGAACTTCCTTTGAATTACTTATTGCAGTATAATATACTTCTATATAATATGCTGGGTACTTAGAAGAATTTATCACTTGGTGGCAGTACTCTGTAGCCATAGTGGAGTCTCCTCTTTCAGTGCTGCTTCAGCCCACTGATGTAGAAGTGCACACAGTGTTTTTGCTTTGTAGGAGGACAAGGTTAAGGGAGAATAATTTGCATAGTGAAGCTTTGACACACATTTGTCTCGATCCAGGCACAGGCATGCAGAGGCAGGCTTTTCAACACACGTCCTACATGTTAGGTATAGGCAATAGAAAGAACAGTAAGTGCCCAGAATCGTGTTGGCGATTTGCGCGCTGTAATAGCATAAATGGAATGGTATAAAGCACTGTGGCAAATTGCTGCTAGCTAGCACCTCGCTGCTTGTATTCCTTGTTGCGGGCTAGTCACATGATCCAGCGTGCGACAATGAATACAAGTGACAATTACTTAACTGGCACCAATTTGCTACTGACCACTGCACTGATAATGGTGTGAAACAACCAAGAGGATTCCGGCCATTCCCACCCTAAACAGGCTTGACTGGATTTGATGGAGTTAAGGCTCAAGTACTGGGGATGGTGACCTTATTTTGATTTATGCTGCAGTTCTAATTTGTGTGTGAAAAGGGCCTTTTCTTCAAGTAAATACACTGGCTCAAACTCAAAAAGGTGTGCTGATGGGCCTGTCATAGGGAGTACGTATTCCTCTCTGTTGGCACTAGGTAAATAAGCAAAAGAGTAGCTTCTGGCTTGGTGTAACAGCCAAGGTTGTATACGTGAAGCCACAATCAGACGGTTGGTATCTTCCATATGAGTCTGCTCCTCTGGATCTGAAACAATAGTACTCCACCTCTCATTTTAATGCAAAAACAAATTATTATCAGTATCAATGATAGTTTGACTAGAGTGTACTGCACACGCTTGAACCCAGGTTATGATTTCCCCAGCTTCCCCTCTCCGTGTCTTTTCTGAATACATTTCCAGCACCATTTTAAATGCCACTACGGTGAAAACAAATTACATTCTGGTGCTCCCATTAACACCATAGGCCAAAGGAGAGAGGCACTAGTCAAGACAACAGGCTTTATCCTATGCTTGACATATACTGAAATGGCCACATGCCGAGGCCTGAAGGTTGTTAATGGGGTAGAGAAAGCAGAGGAGACCATTTTAAAATTGAATTGACATGCTCACTAATATAGCTTTTTTCCCCATTCAATTTGCCTTAGCGAAAAATGGAACATCTGGCTTAAGGATTACTTACACTGATGACCTTATAGAAATTAAAATGGCATCCTGCATTGCTTTATCAGTAGCCTAAGAGAAACTTCACATGTTATGATTTTAAGTGGAACATGTTACAAGCTGGCGCTGTGTATCCATTAAAGCAATAATATTTGGATATGCACATAAATCTTTTCCGAACCAGATGCATGCCATGGAAACAGACTGTGATTGTCTTTGTTTTTCTCATGTGCATTTCTGAAATATTCACAAAATTTTCAAAACTCCATTCGTCCCCCCAAACATTATGGTTTTCACTCCTAATCAGGGTGTATCTCTAACACAACCCCATTAAAATCTTAATATAAGTGGCCCTAAAGGCAGGCAGATTAGGTATGTGATTATGGTTATGAGCATCTAAAAGTCAGCACATAGAAGAAGAGAAGGTTATGCTTTTGTGGACTACTGACTTAAAACTAGAACTTTGAAGTAACATGTTACAAAATAACACATTAGTTGGAATATGTTATTTGGGGCAGTGGTATTCTTTATACTACGATGTAACAAGAATGTCAACAAAAGACTAATAATGCTCCCGGGAATGTTAATGATATAATTTCTGACAGTGTTTGTGCTCTGTCCTGCTATAGCTCTAGAGTAGCGATTCTCAACTTTTTTTTTTGGCAATGGACATAAACACAACATGAAAGAAATACAGGCTGAATCAGGACTGGGTAAGTCCTGTAGCAAACTTTACAAGGTGATGTATGAAGAATTGTTTCCAGTCTGTGGCCCCTTCAAATGTGCCAGGGCCCCTCAGGAGGACCTATGGGCCCCATTGAGAATGGCTGCTCTCTAGAGCACAGTATGGAGGGGGTGGGCAACATGTGGCCTATGAGCCGCATACCGCTCTCCAGCAACATAAATGCAGAATTCCAGCACCCCACTGTCATTTCCAAGGTTTCAAAATCTCCTTGTGCCCTCTTAGAGGGGTCTGGGCAATTTTGCCATGAATTCGGGAGCCTCTGGAGTCTGCACTGCTTGGGCTTCCACCTAACCCCACCCAATGCATTTTTTAAAAAAGTGGCCACTAGAGGGCCATCCCCACTTACAAAGATTGTAAGCCAGGTATTTTGGATGCTGCAGTTGAGAAATTTCCAGGGCAGGACATATGCAGCATCCAGACTTCTGGAAGTTGCCCATCCTTGATGAAGACCCATAGTTTTAGCATGCCCTAAAGTTTCAGCTATACTGTAAAGCTGCTCCTGGAAATCACAGACTTACCTTTTCGGTGTTTTGGAGGAAGTTGTATGTGTTACGTGTGTTTTCCTTTGGAGAAAGAATCCATTACGAACCAAAGATCCATTTTCTGGGCTGGGAATAGCAATGGCTAAGTGCCTGTTGGGTTTGGAAGTTGGAGGGATAACCACTAAGTATGGGCTTTCTGATGTGGAGAGAAGGAATTAAGGAACAATTAATGCAAATATATTAATAATTTGTAATAGAACAAACTTGTACCATCTCCAGGAGCTATTACAACAATGCCCTGCATGTAACAAAATGGCCAAAATTCCTGTAAGGCAGTCACTTATCAAAGTGAATTGCTGTAAAGTTAAGAGATCTCCGTAAACATTAACTGCTGCCCACAGTTATCTATCTGTTGGTGTGCAACAGATAATGCATATGGAGATTTCTTAATTTACAGCAGTTTGCTTCTAAAAAGTACCTTGCTGGTCCTTGACCATAATAAAGTTATTGTATCCTTCTAAAAAGTACACCTTTTGCTTAACTGTACAACAGGATTTTAGCTGGTAACATACCAAGTTCTACTAAAGACAAACTCAGATATCCTTAACTCCCTTACTAATTACCAGCAAAGTATTTTTTATGGTAAGTAAGCATGGGATTTTTGGATTTTTTTGGAGTATAATCCCATAATCCTCTTCCATTCTGAGTGTTTCACCTGACAGACCCATGGATTTTTTGGACTAAACATCCCATAATTGTCCATTCTGTCTGACAGGCCCATGCCTACAGATACCTAAATGTGGTTTACATGCAGAAAAGGCCTAGCACAGGTCGAACGCTGCCCTAGTTTATGTCAGTGAGGAGCTTCCTTTCTGAACAGGAAGCTAGGGCAGGGCTAGGCCTATGCTAGATTTGGAAGCCATTTTAGCTAGGCTCCAGATTAACCTGTCAGGTAGAATGGAGAATGATGGGATCTGTAGTCCAAAAATCCAAAGATCCCATGCATAATGGTAAGAAGGAGGGTTTACAATCAATGTTTTTATTTAATTTATATCTCAACTTTCTCCCTTGTCATAGCTTACAATGTAAATTTAGAAACATATATCTCTGAGAAACACAACCAGCTGCACACCAGGTAAACATAAATTTATATACTGTAGCTTAAAAGCTATTTTAAAACAACAAAAAGAACAAGACACTCCATGGAAAAGTTATTCACCAGTCAATCTGTGGACAAAGACCCATCAAAACAAAAAGGTCTTTGCCTGCTGGTGGAAGAACAGTTGGGTTAAGGCAGCCTAGTCTCCCATGAAAAGGTCCTTTCTGGTTTCCTCACCAAATGAGCCTGTTGAGAGAGATGGGACAGAAAGAAAGGGCACTACTGAAAACCTTAAAACCAAGCAGAAACATGCTTGGTCCCTTAGATACCTGGATCCAAACTGTGAAAGGCTTATAACTCATAAGTAGCATTCCGAGTTGGGCTCAGAAATAAACCAGTAACCAGTGAAGTAGTTGTAGCAAATTTCTTTCTTTCTTTCTTTCTTTCTTTCTTTCTTTCTTTCTTTCTTTCTTTCTTTCTTTCTTTCTTTCTTTCTTTCTTTCTTTCTTTCTTTCTTTCTTTCTTTCTTTCTTTCTTTCTTTCTTACCATAAATGGCTCCAATCAACAGCCTGGCTGCAGCCTTTTTAGCCCCACTGAAGATTCAGCACATATTCAATGTGTGTGTGTGTTTAGTCGTTTAGTCGTGTCTGACTCTTCTTGACCCCATGGACCAGAGCACGCCAGGCCCTCCTATCCTCCACTGCCTCCCGGAGTTGTGTCAAATTCATGTTGGTTGCTTCGCAGACACTGTCCAGCCATCTCATCCTCGGTCGTCCCCTTCTCCTCCTGCCGTCACACCTTCCTAACATCAAGGTTTTTTCCAAGGACTCTTTTCTTCTCATGAGATGGCCAAAGTACTGGAGCCTCAGCTTCAGGATCTGTCCTTCCAGTGAGCACTCAGGGTTGATTTCCTTTAGAATGGATAGGTTTGTTCTCCTTGCAATCCAGGGGATTCTCAAGAGCCTCCCCCAGCACCACAATTCAAAGGCATCAATTCTTCGGTGGTCAGCCTTCTTTATGGTCCAGCTCTCACTTCCATACATCACAACAGGAAAAACCATAGCTTTGACTATTCGGACTTTTGTTGGCAATGTGATGTCTCTGCTTTTTAAGATGCTGTCAAGATTTGTCAAAGGCAGCCCCAAATATGGCATATTACAGTAATCCAAATGGGACAATTGTACTCCTTTTGTTTGTTGGCTGAAATTAGTTAATTAGATATAGCACGCTTTATAGCTGGCTATCATGCTGTTATACTGTATACTGTACATTAATTTTCTCTGCATTGTGGGTTTCTGAGGCATGAGATTTTATGGCTCCTTTAAGAAAGAGATAAATATGGATATTTCTGCATATAATTTGTTATTAAAAATGGAGGCCTGCAGATTACCAATAAATGTCAATTATGGCTGTACTTCTGTCACCTGTCGTTTTACATTGCTACCTGTCTGCACTCTTTTCAGAGGCCTTTCTCCAGGTGTCAAAACCAACTGAGATGAACGAGTGGTCTCAGAACTGTGAAATGTTTTCCCAAAGGATACACATCTAACACTATCTTGTACTTTTTATGGCACCAGGTAAAATTGATTTTATTTTCTATGCATTTGACAGTGTAATCTTAAATATGTCAACTCGGAACTAGTAGGCAGAGGGAAGCTATATTAAGTGCATTTGGGACTGGCTGCCAGGAATCTCTTAATTTTTTTAAAAACTGAATTTGCTGGATTTTTGTTTGCATTACATTTTATTCTCTCCTCCACTTTCTCTTATATTGTGTACGACTGATATCAGGGGAGGGGCCCTTGTCAAAAGCTCCCTATGCATTTTGATCTTTCAGAATATTGATCCATTTGTTTTTTTATTGTTTAAATTATATTCATTAGGAAGCTACATGTTGTGCTTGAATCCTTTTTTGAAAGGGGAAAGGCCTGCACAGATTTCATAGCAGATATTCTCTTTAAGAGGTTAGCAGGATATCCTTCCCAAATGAAAAAATGTCAGAGTAGAAGCATCTACCTTCTGTGAGGTAAGTAAAAGAAAGCTGATTAGTCTACAGCAGACCTTTCCTCTGAAGAGAGACACCCATGACGGCTAGAGCTTAGTGTAGAAAATGTATTAGCTAACAAATGCATTAAAAGAGTGATGCAAGAAGCCTAATTCTGAAAACCATCATGTGTCCAGAGATAGTTAGCCCTGACAATGACCCTTGCCAGGTTCATACCTAATGGTAGGTCAGGTTGTGGTTTGTTGTTGCTTCTAAAACCCTTAATATTAAATTATAGTTTGTTAGCCAGCTCCAAACCATGACTAGAAGCTATGATTTATGGTTTGTTTATGACAGCTGATCATAGTATTCTGAGAGGTGAAGTTAAAAAGAGTCTGCACTTTTTCGACCTCTTGTTTTTTAAACCATGATTTGTCAATATGGCTGTGGCTTGCTCTTAGCTGATTTCCTCAGATGAGAGTCTGTAAACAGGAGGTGACAGAAGGAACAGGAGAGCAGACAAGAAATCGAGCACTCAATTGTGATTTACTTGTTTGTCTACGGGACACTTAAGGCTAAAGCAATGTATCATGGTTAACATAAACCATCTTAGTCTACTTTACAGACATAACCACTGTGTACATGAGAAAACCACAGTGAAATTTATAACAATGACATATGTTTTGTAATCTGCTGGATTCCAAATTTTAGATATGATGTAAACTCGTAACATGCATACATCTTTTTTTTTAAGTTCTCAAAACCACAAATCCTCTAGATACAAGTGAGTGTAAACACACTTTGTCAATCAGCTCGTGGTTGTCTTCTTTCCTCCTGTTTATGGTAATTGAATTGGTGGTTCGAACTCCTTGAACTTTGTATTCCATTAAAAATGGCATTGGGGCTCTGCGGACAAACAGGACAACTGAAAAGAGACAAGCTGGAAGGAGTGGAGTGGGGGCAGGGAGGGGGAATCAAGAAACAAAAGGCTTTTAACTTGTGCTGTACATGATAATGATAGACTTCCTTCAAAGAGCACAGGGGCTTTCGAAAATCACAGGAGTGCAGAGAGGTCACCCATAGATGTTTGAATTATTAACACATGTTTAAACATTAAAGAAAGACGTATTGATAGAATATCAATGTAATTAATTATTTATTTACAGAAAGTGAAGCATGGAAGAGAAATAAACTGTTCATTGCTCTTTGGTGAGGGAAGGTCCTTCCAGAAATGCCCCATAAAAGGATTTGTTAGTACTAATAAGTGTATTAATAGCTTGTAGCGTAGATTCGCTTAAAGCTGAATGAAAGCTAAGACACTCAGAATAAAGAGAGCAACGTTTTTTCCCTTGGACCAATGGTACTTGGTGTTAATTTTTGAATATTTATTTATTCATATTATTTACATGCTACCTTTAGCCCCTTTAGTCTAAGGCAGCTTGCAACAGATAAACATATAAAACAAACAGTTCTAAAATACTATATAAATATGGTGTATTTGTATTTAGTACAGAATTTCACAGAATGTTCCTGAGGCAGAAAATGGGAACATCCAAGTGAGGTATGTAGAGGAACAAAGCAAATTACATGTAAAGTTCTATCAAGCCATACCATTTCAGTAACAACCACACCCTATGCATGTTTTTTGTTTTTACGTGCTGTCAGGTCACTTCCAAAATTTGGCAATCCTAGGAATTAATAACCTCCAATAAGTCCTACCATTAATAAACAAACTCACTACCATGGCTCTGTTAATCAAACGAATCAATCTCATTTTAGGCTTCCCTCTTTTCCTGCTATTTCCAATTTCTCCTAGCGTTATAATCTTTTCCAGTGAGTCTTATCTTCTCAGGAAGTGTCCAAAATAGAACTGGGCATGAACTGCCAGTTTGGCAGTTTGTGCTGGTTCATCTTTGGAAGGAACAGGGGTTCAGTGCTTCCTGGCCCTGCCGCCTCTGGCGGGTTCCCACCCATAGGCAGTGCCCAGAGGAAGCAAGCCAGGGAAGCCAGGGTGCCTGCCAGATGAGGTGGGGCCAGAAACTGCCAAACACCTGTTCATCTCTTGTGCCCCCCGTCAAACATGCCTGCGACAGTAATGAGACTGAGAGATGGACCTCCCGTGAAGATCTTAAGGGCTGGAAATGCTCATTTGGAGAGATACAGTCCTTCACAGAGCATGAAGCCAATCTGCATAGGGCTTTATTAGTTATAACCAACACTTTGAACTGGGCCTCTGAACACACTGGCAGCTAGTAAATGTATTGTAACATGGAAATTATATGCTCCCTGTAAATTGTCCTAGTCAGCAATTTGGCAGCTGTATTTTGAACCAGTTGAAGTTTCCAAATCGTCTTCATTGGCAGCCCTATGTGGAACATGCTGCAGTAATCCAAGTAGGATATAACTGCAGCATGTATCACTCTAGCCAGTCAAACATCTCAGGGAATGGGCACAGCTGCCACACCAATTTTAACTGTGCAAAAGCACTCCTGGCTATCACCGAAACCTGGATGCCAAAACCTGGGCACTTAAGCTCAGGAATGAGCCTGGATGAATCAGTATGTTGTGTGACTGATGAATAGAACAGAATTTCAATTCATAACGGCGAAGAAAGCTCACATGGGGAGATAAATGCTATCCCAATTGGTTTGGACAAAATTATTATTCAAATATGAGGACAAATTATGGATTATGAGAACACAGTAGATGGTATATCAGCTGTGCTGGATGGTAAGGGTTATTATGAACACACCCAGCAAGAGAAAAGCACTGTATTCATTCCACGTAACTGTCACCCTGCAGTACATTCTCTTCAAGCTCTGAAACATTTGTCATATTGCTCTCCCTCACTTGCTTTGTCACCATCACTTGATAGAATAGCCATGTCTCCTACTCCATAAGGAAAGACCATTAGTTGAAGGGCTGTCAGAAAACTAGTCCTCCATTTGAAGGTGTCTTCTGCTTGAATGTCTGATTTTAAAAAACAAACACAGGGGAACTGAAGTTGCACGTCAACAGTCAGCCCTCAGACCACACACAGGATGAACAGGTTCACCTGGACAGTCATACTAAAGTGAGATATATTGACTGTGAGCATCCCCTGTGGACCTCTCCGTAATGACACCAATGGTGGCTTTAAACTAAAACATTTTATTAGCAAAAGGGTCTGGGTTGCAAAATAATGGATAATATATTCTGGAAGTTTGGGGTGAGGAATTATGAAATCTGAATGCTAGCAATTATTTCTTAACTTGTACGTATATGCATTGGCCAGAATCCTGCTGGTTATTGTGCAAGGTTTGTGTAGCCTGATTGTGGCTAATTGATGACGGGTATCACGTGCCTCTTGATTATTCAGTG